GGTGTTACCTGTGATTTATTTTTTGCTTCTCCAGCCATGTTTGTGTCTAGAACTCTAGATCATGGAGGAATCGCCCTCTCTGGTGCCGCTTCTCTGGGGTACATTTAGCACTTTCTCAGTGGAATTGCAGTGTAATTCTTTTGTGTGTTTTAAGTGGTATTTACAGTGTACTTTTAGTGTAATTACTGTGCATTTTCAGTGAAATTTACACTGTATTTGTTAGTGGAATTTACACTGTAAATGTTAGTGGGTTTACAGTGTACTTCTAGTGGATTTTTGCTCTGTATTTGCAAGTGGCATTTTTAGTGGAATTACTGTGTATTTCCATGGTTTTTACACCGTAATTATTAGTGTAATTTTGGGCCTTTGTATAGTTGATTCACAGCAGCAACAACTGTAATTTTTCTGTAATTCGGCTTGTGGTTAGATGCCATCAGTTTTGGTCCTTTTCATCCTCCTGTAGTTAGCTTAGTCCACCTTTTGTTAGATTTTAACCCTTTTAGCTGCTTTCTGTACGGGTTTGAATTGCTCAGAGCGTGTACCGTTTATAGTTTAGTGTATGGACCTGTTTAGAAGTGATTTGCGGGGCAGAGGCAATTTGCGGGGTAGAAAGAACAAAGGAACAGGGACACAAGACATATGACACTTGTCATCCTTTAGTTGGCTGAAAAATATGACCGAAAATGAATTAGATTTCATCCGGATGTAGAATAGACAGTCCCAAAAAAAACTACTGACTCCGTTCCAAATTACTCGTCGAGGTTTTAGTTCAAATTTGAACTAAAACCATGACGAGTAATTTGGAACAGAGGGAGTGGTGATTAGGCAACGTTTGGCGCATCACTCTCACGCAATCAACCCAAAGCTGCATTAGCATTACAGGCTTACAGTTTCGGGAATATATGTCGCAAACTCAAAAACAGCAAAAAAGGAAAATAAAGGGAACGCTAATCGGCTCTCATCTCGTAGACTCGCACGCACAGCTGTCAGTCGTTGTTTACCCAGCGCCAGCGGACGCGACGCTCAGGCTCAGCTCAAGACGCAACGCCGTCGCGGTGGCGCCGCCGTCGTCCAGCCGCCTCCCCCGCTCCGGGCCCAGGACGGCGCCGCGCCCGCGCGCGAACGCGAACGCGCCCGTGCCGCCCACCACACGGAGCGCCTCCTCCCGCGGCGCCTCCTTGCTCCTGGCCACCTCCACGCAGAGGCCGCCGGACAGCCCGGGCGCGTCCAACGCCAGGTGCACCGTGTCGAACGCCGACATCGCCGAGCCGCGCTCGCCCGGGAGCACGAACCCCGAGGCCGCGCCGACGGCCGCCGACGTGATCTCCGGCCCCGCCGTCATCCGGTGGCGGAACACCAGCGCGCTCGCCACCCGTTCGTCTCCGTGAGCCGCGCCTTGCTGCCGCCTCACGGCACCAGACGCGGCCGGATGGATGTACACCGTGATATCGCGGAGGCCCCGGGGGCGCGCGGTGGACCGGTGGGGGAGAGGGGAGACGGTGGCGAGCAGGACGACGGCGAGGACGGCCGCGGCGATCACCACGCAGAAGATGACCCTGCCCAGCATTATCACGGCCGACTCATTATGCGCCGTGGTCTGGTTTTTTGCTTACCTAGGACAGCCAAATGCAGCAGGAGTAGTGGTCACCGCGGTGAGCATTCTGGCTACAACAGAGTGGTTGCGCCTAGTACTTAATCCATTGCCATGACGCATAGGGTCAAACGTTAACCAATCCATTGACGAAAGGGGCGACGTCGATTAAGTAGAAACACACGGCGTTCTCAGTGCGGTTGGGCCGGTGGAGCATCCGCCATGTGCAAGAGCGCAACCACTTTCCCGCGCGGTGCTGGCTAGTTCTTCTTCTTTTTTACGCGCACAATTCGAGATGCAAGATCGTTTGCCAAAAGGAAAAACGATGCAGAATCGACAACTTTGCAGCAGTTCATACTTTTCTTCAATGCAGTTCGTTTACGAAAAGACCGGTTCGATACAGTTCATATTCTCTGTTTGAAGATGCGGACAGCTGAGGCATCAAAGTCAAAACGTGCCAGCAGTGTGCATGGCTACTGACTACACTGTTTGTTGGGCCTACCCCTACTGGCCTCATATCCATCACGTTACCTTACCAGGGGTGATGCCCCTGGCTGAAAGCCAATGAATCTTTTTCTGGCTCGGGTCGACTGGAGATCATTTTCAAAGGCCTTCCGAATGCGTGCTCCAGGTTTCCCGTGTGATTATCGTAATCCTCTCGGGTGGGGCAGCGAGCCGAGCGGTGACGCAGCCAGTGGACAATGATAGTTAATGGCAAGGTTTGGTGAGCGAGATTTCAAATCACTCGAGTCAGCAAGCGAGCCCGATTTCCGTCGACGAGACAAAACTGCGATATCCAGCATGTGGTGCAAATGCCACCACACGGTTCGGCTCACAGTGGCTTAACACCAATTATGTGACCCGTTGATTCGACGTAAAAAAATACAGGGATAGATGCATGACATAGACTAAACTATACACGCGGAAGTGTCAGCAGCAGCAAGCATCGGCCAAAGTCCGGCATCCACCACAGATCCAAACGCTTGGCATAGCCCCACAATAATGCGCGCAGGAAACAGCAACAAAAGCCTACAAGGGGCCAAGAGCGCGCACCCA